GAAGTAAACTATGACACCAGATGGAAATAAAGACTGGCTACAATGTAAAATAATAAAAGCAGCAGATTAAATTGATAAATAATGTGATATGACACAAACTAATGTATTCATATCAATGTATTCAATCAAATATAGAGTATTATTTTAGTTGATGTGTTCGCTGTAAAGTCATTTGAGACATGTTTTACCATAAGTAGTTTAATTAAGTATCTTCACAATGGCTCATTAAATTAAGTGCATGTCTGTTTCTACTGTCACCTCTTCCTGTGTATGTAAGTGTGTATTTCTGCTCAGAGGAAACCAATAAATGACTGACATGGATTGATAAATATAATTATGAACTGGGATTACTGGCATCCACCTACACTGATTACTACTGATGAACCCAAAGACACTACACAGATCCACATTTCGTTGCTTCTGCACTAATATGCAATGGCCTAGATTAGATTAATAAAACATTAAAGACAAAATAGAATTTCTTTACGTTCACTCATTTACTCCTTTGTTCAGCATCATAGAGACTGACAACAGGCCGGTGTCTCTCACAATCAAGAGCTCCACAGAATATGAATAATGGAACAACTGTCCACGCTGACAGCGCCCACAGAGACTTCATTACAATATGGAAACATTTTCAACGCTCAAGAAGACTAAAATAAAACCTTTTAAATCTCAAACAAAAACACACAGTATAATTTGGTAGTGTAGTGTCAGCGGACAAACACCCAACACTGTCCTCATCACCATCAATATGTGTTTTGATCAAGGTTGTAGCACCGAGGTTATATCCTCTGTATTGCTGTTGAGAATTTAGAAATGTTTGTTTATAATTTATAATCTACAAGAAGAGAAAAATAACTCAGATTTGCATTTTAAGGCTGCCTCTGATGGACTCAATAACTTTAAATCTGACCCTTTTTTAAGCAAAACAATGAAGTTTAAACCAAATAAAATGAAGGGATGAAGTGTGCAGACTTCGGTTTGTGACACTGATCATCAGGAGCAGACTGAATGTCTTGTGTCAATCAGTGAACTTCTTCTTTATATAAATAAATATAAATATAAACTACACCACACTGTAGTTTCTGCTTTAGGGTGGACTTTCCCTGTAAGTGCTGACAGAGGCAGAAAGCTGAGAGGAAACAGAAAATGCTGAGAAGTTTTCCAGAACAAGCACGTGATGTCTGTCATTACAAGCATGTAGACGTCACTCAGCTCCCACAGTTTACCTGTGCAGGTAAAAGTGACTGCTGCTGCTTATTCCTGAAGTTCACACATTTACACTGAAGCACTGTTTCTAAGTTGTGTAACACATAATGCTGTTTTTTAAACACTTACATTAGTTAATAAAGGCGTTGTTTCGCTGCCTGCGCGGTCCCCGGCTGCGCATTCACTATATAAATCTGTGTTAATATTTCCATTGATGCTCATTTTCTACTCTCGACGAAACTCAGGACTCAAACTACAAAAAAAATAATAATAAACTACAACTGAAACAAACTCCCGCTGCTCCAAACTTCACAGTGCAGCTACCGGGACGACGACCAGCTGCGGAGTTATGAGACCATCTTGTCTTTCATCACTTTTAAAGTCTCCTCTTATCGGCCCGTCAGCTGCTCACTGTTGTTGTTGATCATGACTCGCGTCACGTGCCCCTCTCTTCCGTCGCGTTTGACACGTCAGAGCGGAGACTGCCCAATCAGGAATCGACTCTCCGCTCCTTCGACCAATCACCAGTCCGCTTTTGTCGACCGTGGATGACGCAGTTGAAGCATGCCGGAGGACGGAAGATGTTGAGGTGAGCTCTGAATGTGAATTTTCTCGAAAATAGGCGCATAGTTAGTATTTATTTAGTGTGATGACATTTAGCAGCAGTTCACAGTTAACAGCATCCTGTCTGTCATTTCAGGATTCTCTCCAGAGTCTCAGCATCTTCTTTACAAACTCAAAGAAACCTAAACGCAGCCGCTGTGCGCCGGAGCCTCTGTTGTGCAGCCTCACGGTCAGCCCCGCTTTGTTCTGGCCTAGCTGTGAACATAATGGAGCCTAAACTGTACCGACCCCCTCCAGAGGTCCGGGGTATGACCTTGCTGGACAAAGAAGCCTTCACACGGACTATCACTGTCCCAGCTCTACGGGTGCCCGCTGGGGTCTTAAACAAAGTGGTAAAGAGCCTGAGAAAGTCGTCCATCCAGCGCCCAGGGGTGCCCAGAGTGGTGCAGGATGAAGAGGGGAGTAGTGACTTTCGTTTGGTGCTGTTGGACCCCCACAAAGTCACCTCGCCAAACTCCTTCAGTGAAGCTGAGGCTGAGGCTCTGAGGGCGTTCGGTGTCGCTCAGGAGCTGCAGCACTACAATCTGCAGCTCACCTATCACAACCTGAAGAGCGAGGAAGTGCTGGAGGCTGTGCTCCCTCAGGGTCAGGATGTGACCTCTTCGTTCAGCCGGGTGGGACACATCGCACACATGAACCTGAGGGAGCACCAGCTCCCGTACAAGAACCTCATAGGTGAGAGGCAGGTGTTGCAACAGAAGGAGTTCATACAGATGTTTTTCCAACCATTTATGTACAGTTTGGACTGTACTGTGACATAAACTCATGTGAATAATCCTTTAGAGGAAGAGATTTATATTTATATCCGTGCCCTCCAGTCTAGTTTTGGGCGGAAACATTTTTATCAGCATCCTCAGAAAACTTCCTGCTATCCAATTGCACATAAATTGCATAATGTGCAAAATGATATAGAGAGAGCTGCAGCTGCATTACATATTTTTATTATTACTTCCGTTATAAACACAGTTACTTTATTACATGTAAAGTATTAAGTTCTGTTTTTATTTCCTTCCTCCCTAAACGTTTCCGACCATGGTTGAACAAAGAAAAGATTTCAGAGTTGGTTAATCACATCCATTGCTAACCTCCAGGCTACTTTCATTGTAGGTCAAGTCATCATGGACAAAAACCCCGGTATTACCTGTGTGGTCAATAAGACAAACGTGATCCACTCCACTTACCGCAACTTCAAGATGGAGGTGCTAGCTGGAGAGGAGAACATGGTCGCCAAAGTAGGTGAAATCACAAGGGTGCAATTATTTCACATTAATGATACACAGATACTTACATGGCACCATCCGCTGCTAGAGGCAGTCTCACATATATTCACATCATTGAGATAATCTTCTTCATCTGTGCTACAGGTGAAAGAAAACGGGGTGACGTACGAGTTTGATTTCTCCCGTGTGTACTGGAATCCTCGGCTGAGCACGGAGCACCAGCGTGTGGTGCAGCTCATCAAACGTGGTGACACCGTGTTTGATGTGTTCGCTGGCGTCGGACCCTTTGCCATCCCAGCAGCCCGCTTGGGTGCCAACGTGCTGGCCAACGATCTCAACCCCGAGTCCTACCGATGGCTACAGCACAACTGCAAACTCGGCAAGGTGGAGAAAAAAGTCCGAACCTTTAACCTGGACGGCAGAGCGTTCGTCCAGGGACCTGTGAAGCAGGAGCTGCCCGCGCTGCTGAAGGAAAAAGCCGCTGTTCACGTAGTGATGAACCTGCCTGCCTTGGCTCTGGAGTTCCTGGATGCATTCAGAGGTCTGTTGCACCAGGAGCCTTCCTGTGAGGAGAACCTACCCACAGTGCACTGCTACGGTTTCTCTAAAGAAGGCGACCCTGAGACGGACGTGGTGAAGAGGGCTTCCCGCAGCCTCGGATTCCCTTTGGAGAACCGATGTTCTGTGCATTTTGTACGTAATGTAGCACCCAACAAAGATATGATGTGTGTGAGATTCACACTCCCTAAAGAGGTCCTCTTCAGCGGTGATCACGAACAGACTGGTAAGAGTTAACTCATAAAATGGAACAGTAGAAACTGAATTACAGTGGAACCTTAACATTCCCTGTTTACAACTCGTGTGCCTTACAGCAGTGGTTTCCAACCTGTGGGTCGGGACCCCCACTAGCTGTCGCCAAAGCTTTACAGGGGGTCGCAGGGCCTTCCTGATTTCAAGGCGTATAAGAAAATGAGCCATGATCGGCTGTTATGACAACTTCCGGTTCCATGGTGAAATGTCATTCGACCCAAAGTCGATCCGATCAATTCCCTGAATGAAGAAGTTCATTAAAGTACAACGTGTGCACATCACCAAAAATTACCATGAACTTCAAAATGGCTGACTTCCTGTTGGGTTTTGGGTATGGGTCCTTGAGGCTTTTTTGCTTCTCTGGTCATGATGCATGTGCATACTGATTTCTATACATATCTTTGAAACGTGTCTCGGGAAGCTGCTTTGCCACACTCGTGTGCAAAACTCGTAGAATATGTACATTTCCAGAACAGCCAAATTTTTGAGTTTTGGAGCATGTTGTGGACACAAAATATGTGACTCATTGGGAATGAAATAATAATTATACACAGTAGGCCTATATCCCAGCTTTTGGTTCACTTCTGTAAAGAAAAATAAATGTAAAGTAAATTGTCTAATAGCAATGGCCAAGCGTCAGGGACACTTTCAGCTCTGGGAAATTGTGATGGGAATCTTAAACTGGTCTGACATTTTACTACAATGATTTACGATAATCAGCAGACTAATACATAATGGAAATAGACTTCACTGTCAGATGGCCCAAAGATGATTTTCCAGCATGGTGGATAATAAAGTTTTACATTATTCAATTCTAAACAGATTTTCTTTTTCCACAGAGCCTTCAGAAGAACCAGCCCCAAAGAGACAGAAGTGTGAAGAAGCTAAGGATTCGATGTAGTTGTCATATTGACCCGTCATTATGAGGAATCCAAGGAAATACTTTGAGTTGCGAATGGGTTTTTTTTTTTTTTTACAAGGAGCGTTTTACTTTTATTACAGATGTTGTTGCATCTTATCATAAGAAATAATAACCCAACATTACGTAATAAATTACTTCCATTTGTTCACACCAGAATGTATTAGAACATCATACATTTCACTTTTAAATAAATCTATAAAATAACGGGCAGATTCTCTGTGTTCATTGTGATTTATTTAAATATAAAAATAACACAAAATATAAAAAGACCTGACCAAAAATCTGTCAGAGCGCTCTCCACCACAGCAGCTTTTGCCCTCTCCATGGTTGCAGCTGTGCGGTTTTTAATAGTCCTTTTATCACATTTCTAACCAGTGGCCGTTGTGCTGTTTGAGCTGTGGATGTGTTCAGCCTTTCTGAGGAAACAGCCCACCGAAAGCATCCTGAATAGCTCGATGACATGCCAAAGCTGAGGTGTATCCTCCAGCTGTGTCCTGAGGCATGGCAGCCCGCACGTGGTTCAGATACCTGAGAACACACAGAGAGCCCTGGTCAGTAACATCAGTGAGGTATTTTGTAAATAATGTGACTGACTGGCAGCCCGAGAGCTGGTTTCAAAAGTAGTTCCTGTGAGTGTAACTTGAGTGTAAGTTTATTCTTCATTAAATCCACACTTGAAGTTATTTTTTCTGGCTCTCTGCGACCCTTTGGCCCTTTGATGAGATCAACGAAGACAGACGTACCCGTACACTAACACTAGAACACCTTGTGCCTAAAAGCCTCTCCAACATGGCTCTATTAAAGTATTATGGGTGTCTTTTATTTTTTAAGTGCTTACAGATGTATCCTGCCAAAGCCCCTTTTCAGGTTTTTTAAGCAAAGCCAAAAGTCACTGTTTATTTTTACATTCATGCACAGACAGAAAAACAGTCAAGATGTTAATCCAGTCTCCACATCTTGTCCCCACAGTGAAAGATGCCCCCTCTACATATGAGTTGTGTGTGTATAAGGGGGGTGGACTTGTTCCCCTCCCACCCACTCTAATCCTTCGTCCACTGTTTTGTTCCATCAAAAAGTGATCACTGAGGGAGAAACCTGCACACATGTTCTTAGCTGCTTTCTTGTAGCATCTGACTACAAAGCTAAAAAAGCAAAGTGCTCCAGCAACTGAGACAACACGTAGCTTTGCCTGTCAATACTGTCTACCCCCCCCAACCTACAGAAATCATAGTCCTGGCAGGGCTAAAGCCCTCACACGAGTCTGGCTTTGTGGCCCCTGTTCCTGTGAGCTGGGAAAACTTCAAAGTGAAACGGAAATCAAGAGCACAGACAGCCCTCTGTGATTTCTGTGCCCATTCAAGCTGCTTTACAGAGTAACCTAACACCTGTGGGGAGACTGGGAGACTGAGAGAGTTGAGGCGTGTGTGTGAATGAGAGATGGACGGGGAGGAAAAGGTGTTGGTGAGACTACACGCTGAAATGATCATATTTTGCTTTGGTGTTTTAAGATTCTACGAGGTGCTTTGTTCCTAACGCAATAAAACCATCACAGAAAATAAAAGTTGAAACATATTCGCTAGCATGACGGTGACATAAACACAAAGTCAAACATTCATGAATATCACGCAAGATGACCTTGGCTTGTCTTACAACAGACAGTGAAAGTGAGAAGAGGAGCAGCTAGAGATGTCAATCAGGTCTTGCACACAAAGACCACTCATCACCCACTAGAGAAACAACACACAAGTTCAAAACAGGAGGCCCAGTGATTAATAATAACTTCATTAGGCGCAAGCTGCTGTAGCCTGTCCTTCAGAGCACTTGAGGGAGGTCTTCTCATATGGCTTCCTGCATCAGATGAGTGCTATCTATTGATTATATTGTACTGGGCCTTTTTAATGGTGAAAAAAGTGGGCTATTTACAGCCCAGCTAAGTCTGCTCTTCCTGCTAATCTAATCCCCAAGCTACTCATGTGGTCATTCCTTCCAAGAAAGCTGAGAGCTCTGTGTAACTTTATACCTGCCTGCCCCTAAGGATAGAGAGAGAGAGCAAGAGAGCAAAAAGAGAACATGAAGGAGAGGGAGGAAGAGGGTGAGTGGTGTAGATGGGGGGTGGGGTGGGAAGTAGAAAGAGGAGGGAGGATATGAGGTGAAATCACCTTTGGGTATCATCATCACAAACCCTCTTCTCTTAAACCAACCCTGTCTGCCCTCTGCTCACCCCTAACACCCGAGGTTAGTTCAGTTCTGCTCCATTAACTCAGCGGCTGTATCCGCATCTTCCTGTAAAGGCTGGCCACATACATATACGTGACCGGCTATAGATGTTTGTGAAGCTGAACGATAAACTCGACTCTTTGCACATGACTGTACATGACGATGCTGAAACATTAAGAATGGACTGACAACACCTAAGACATGCAACGACATGAAATGCATTAAAATGTGCAGCACCCTTGCCTCCAAAAACAGGCAGACTCTTTACACTGTCTTCAATTGTAAAACAACACACACACACACACACACACACACACAGACACACACACACACACACACAGACACACACACACAATTCCCCCTCTGAAACAGACGCTTCGAACCCCTCTGACGCTACTGTTTCACTGTGTGCACTCACTCTCCACGCCCTCCGCCCCCCATCCCCTCTTTCTCCCTTTCTCTCTGAGGACTGGACTGCCTTTTGTTCGCAGGGCCCTGAAATCCAAGCCGTTTCGGCCGGTAACATCTTTCACTCTCCGGGCCCCACTGGAGCATTAGCTGCAACTCGATATGGGTCTTTTCAAAGCCTCGTATTATTGGGTAAATATGGGTCACTTTGGACTGGCCCATTATGTCGCTGGGGGGGAGTGGGAAAAGACGAGTGCAGGTGATGAAGACAACTGAATGACACAGTAGGACAGTGTGCGTGTCAGACTGCCATCGCCACAAGGGAATATGACAGGGGTTTTCCATTAGTATACACTCTCAACAGGAGTGATATATGTTTGTCTTCCTTTACTATAAACAATGTACATGAATTGCTGTAATATTCATTTGCACTCAACAGCAGCATGTGTGCAAATGGGATTATTTTTTTTATTGTATTCTCAAAAGCACAATAGAGGATAAAATGCTTGCATTATTTTTCAACCTCTACTCATACCATGTGCTATTACCCATATCTTTCAAAAAACCCCATGTGCAGTTGGATCAAAACTGTTCAGTGCTAACAGCATTTTTCCACTCGGGTCTGGAACTCTGAATACCTGGGCAATGTCTCCTGCTAATGCTAATAACGGTCAGAGTTTTTCCTGACGGGACCCTGAAAGTATTCCCCACTCCGGCTGCCTGGAAAACACAGCGCAGCCCCATCTCTAATTCAAAGTGAAAAGATAAGTGGCGTAATGTTCCGGCGGGTTCTGCGTGATTTCCAGCTGAGAATGTGTGGCTCCTCTTTGTGTTTGGATCGGCGATCCTGCTGCGGAACAGAGGGTGTTTGGGTTCTTCAGGGAAAATAGCTGTGAGGCTGGGACTCCAAAGGAAAAACAGCAGATATCACTCGGAGGTTCAGGCTGCATTGGGCCTCTTGTCTAGACTCAATGTGTTGGCTGGAATTGGATTAAGAGGAGCTGTGGAAGCCCGAGCTTGATGGAAAAGAAAAGAGGCCTGTAATGCTACAATGGCTATTTCAGCAAGCAGACACTTAATCAACATACAAACCACAGAGCAGACGCAGAAGACAGTGGAGCAATCTGAATCAGTCTTAAACAACCCTTACTGTACAATTACTGTATGTGGTTTGGCTGCTTTTAAACAAAGACTTAACATTCCGGTTTACCATACAGCAAGTTCAAAGAAGCTAAACTGGATCCTTCAATGGGACAGAAAACATGAGGCAATATCTGAATCGATAGGAGTTTCTGAGAGAATCCATAAATTCTGAACTGAGGCTGCTTTTACATTTTTTTCTTCAAAGCTCTGACCTGAGGCCCGGCCTCTGCTTGGCACCTGTCCGCTTTCACAGCACCCTCACTGATCCAGGGTCAGCATTTGTTTTTATTTTACAAAGGATGAGAGGCGCTTTGGATTCAGCTTGTCGTCAGCATGATTCATGACCCAAACAGGGTACGCTGACTTTCAGGCAGTTGGAAAGATAAACTCTGTATTCTGTTGAATCAACACTGGAAGGAAAAAATGACATCTACAAAGACGAATCAATACAACCTACCCTACCTGAGACCGCTCCAAGGACTGAAGCCTCATTAGCTATGTTTATTAAAGCGAAGGAGCTTAGACTGGTGGGTTGAGTGCAGTAAGAGTGCCGCTGACACAGGGCAGGCTATATCTGAACAGAGGCTGCCCCATACTACTGAAAGGCCAGTCATGAGGCTGCTGGATGGCAGTGTGAATGTCCGGAAGTCTTCCTTTAGCGCTCTGCTCCGGCAGCGGTTGAGGATTCCTGGCCTGGAAATGATGGGGGCTGGATGGGGGCTGGAGGGGGGGTGCAGAGCCACACACCTGCCAGATGATTTGTCATTATAGAGGGGTCAGCACTCAGCTGTCACCCCCTAATCACCCATCCTACCCCTCAAGTCAACCCCCCTTCACCCCCCAAACTCCACTCCAGTCCTCCAAAAACACCCCCTGCATTCCTCAGGCAGCTCCAGTTTCACTCACAGCACTGCTCCCCATCTGCCCCTCCTTCCTACACTCTACCCTGAGAGAAAATGTACCCCTGTGAGAGACACAGCACACTGAGCGCATTGTGTGGATGTGCGATGTGTGCTTATGCCCCCGTGTGTGTCTACACAATTCATGTGTGTGAATACATGTTTATCTAAGGGCAGAGCTGTTTCGATACCGACAGCAAACCGATAGAGCAGAATTTTACCAGTGAAGAACGTGTGAATTGGTCCAGGCTGCAGTCCAGAAACAAAACCCCCGCAGACAACCCAAACACAGAGGGCTCTCACAGGTATACTATATCTGTCAACAGCGGTCTTTCATCACCACAGGTCAAAGGTCACACTCTTTTCCATTGAATGCAGCTTCCTCTGGGACGTGCGAGTGTGTGAGACAGATCCTCAGCCATTAGCCTACCCACTGTCCATCAGATTATCTCAAGTTGTACTGTGAGTGAATCTAAGGGGGGCTCAGTGCGGTTACATCATATCCTCACGAGCCTACAGACCCCTTATCCATTATCATGTGCCTTATCATCACCACCGACAGGCTCCGCATCCCAAAAGAGAGGAGGAGAGGGGAGGTGGGTATCGCTAACACTTAGTTAAGGGGAGAACATGTTTAGAGTGTTAACAGAAGCTTTGGGTGACACTTGACATTAACGCTTATAGAAATACATTCTCACGTGGCGTTACTGACAATCTGTAAGTTGTTCTCAAGAAGTCAGCTTGTTGGTATTAGTGATAATGACTAAGAGGTAAACTTGTTTTGTGTCTATAACAGACAGCATTGTGGACATACCTAAGATAAAGGCCTATTGTGCCCAACTTCACTTCCTGGTCCAAGCG